TGTGAAAACTTTTCACAGAGCTGCCCCCTCCTCCCCACCGACGGCACCAGGTTACATGTTCCACGAGGACCATGTTGGCTCCCTGCATCTCAGTGAATGCTCCATAAAACCCAGCTGGATGCTCAGCTTCTCTAGAAACCCCCACAGGAAAAGTGACGGGAGCGCAAAGACGTGGACTTGCTTCTTGATTCTCTCGGTCACTACCCCTGAGATGCTGACCAAGCCACTGGACTTTTTTGATTCAGTTCCTTGTCTGTCAACAAAAGCCAATGTGTGTGCATCATGCATCATGGGTGAGTCTCGAGGAAGAAATCAACAAACAGATGTAACAAGCCTGGCCCACTTCCGGGCATCCAGTAGGTTCTGAATGAAGGTCAGTTTTCCCTTCTCCCACTGATTTCCCAGCTGCCAGAGCCCCCGTCGTCTTCACAACCCCCCGCTCTCCTCCACAAGCTCCCCAGCATAAACATCACCGAGAAGAAAGCAGGGCTCCCCAAAGCCACCGAACACCTGAGCCTGCACAACGCCAGCTTAAAAAAGTTCTTGCCATTGTTTCAAGACCTTGAAGAGGGTTTAGGCATTGCTGGGGGCCACTTGCCCCTGCCCCCCAGCCCCAGCCCCACCCCAACTTCTGCTCCGTCTTGTAAGAGCCGGCTCTGCTCCCTCCTTAGAGCTCTCCAGCCTACACCCCTGCCCCATCTGGGCCCCAGGGCCTTCTGAGCTTCCACAGCAGGCCCTGCTGCCCTGTCCTCCTTGTCCCAGACATGGGCCTCCCTCGTGCTGCCCACACCACAACCAGGTTCTGAGCTGCCTCTTCCCGGAAGGCTGCCCTACTGACGTCCAGTCAGTCCCCCAGGCTTCTGCCCGCCCCCCTCAGGGGCCTTGTAATTGCTGCATTCTCCGCATTCCCTCCAGGCTGGGTTTACTGCCCAGCCAGCCCCCACCCCCAGGGCAGGCAGGCAGGCAGGCAGAGAGATCCCTGCCTCCCAAGCACCCCGGATGGGCTTGGAACACTTGCTGACAGCCTGGCTTGTCAGTGCCTGTGTGAAAAACTGACTGAGGGGGAAGAGAGCGAGAGAGCACTTGCCTGTGCCCCCAGCAGCAGGGCTGTGACTGTTCCCCGAGCCTGGGTCCTACTGACCAGCTGATGCTGATCTTTCAAAGTCCCGTCAGACTGTGATTCTCTGTATCTAAGAAGCCAGAGAGGAGGTGGAGGGGAGAAGGCCCCTCCTCGTGATCAGAGGGGGGCACCCCGGGCATGTGGGAAGGGTGCCTGCCAGGCAGGAGTGGCCCCTGGAGTCTGACAGGCTCATCGATCATTGTGA